TTTTTTTTTTTTCAACAGAAAATGTAGGCTTTGATACCAGTATTCAAAAATATTTCAATTTCTTGGCAGCAGATGTTCATTGAGAAAAGTGTCCAATTAGTTATTTAATGAATGTTTAATATGAATTTCCTACTTTCGTTTTGCTGCCGCCAATAATATTCATATATTTTTGCGAGAATAAAAAAGTTCATTTTTGGTTTGATTCTGCAATTTTCAAAATGAAAATGAAACACTAAAACTAAAAAAGATTGACAATGTTCGGCCAAAGTTAGTTTTTTTTTGTCAGAAGCTGAACCGTAGTTTGATGGCCGAACATGGCCGAAGCCCATAAATTAAATAAAAAAAAGAAAAAAAAAGCCCTGCTGCCCGACGACTCGGACACGAACTCGGATTTCTCTATTGCCAGTCTAGTGCTTTGTTCTCTCGGCCATTGCGACTGACCACCACCAATATAATTTTTCCTGCTCATTATCCACTGTGCGTCGTGGGCTTCCCTTCTTCAAACTGAGGTATCATTAATGAAATTTTTGCTGAAATATTAAAGTAGAAATCGTTCGTTAGAAGAAAATATATCTGTGTAAAATATACATATCTAATGGTATCTAAAAACGTAAAGTATATTTACAGCAATACCTCTCAATTTTATTTAAGAAACTTTTCATACCTCTAAACATTTCATATTAAATAGAAAAATTCATTGAGGCATAAATTTACATAAATTAATTTGTGTTTGAGTGGGATTTGCAATGTAATTCTTCGATTGGCATAGTCTCCTACATACAGTGACCCAAACAAATGTACAAGTGTTGATTTTTTTAAATATTCGTAATGTTTTCGAGTTAAAGTTTTTTGTTATTTTTATATGGCTTTAAACAAAACCATATTAATCCCTTTTTCAAACTTTATACAAAATTTGGGAAAATTCATAAAATCTTCATCTAAGTAAACTGATCTTTAAGCTCATTCCGAATGGATATGAAATATTCTTTACAGTCTCTTAGTACCGTATCACGTATGAACTTCTTATGCAATACTTCCGCTACGACGCACATGCAACCAATAGCATTGCCAAATATATAAACCAACCAAATGTAGTAAAGATCCCCCAGCTGTATAGCCTTGCAACTGCGTGGCTTTGTCAAATCCTCAAAGTTAAGCTTTCCCGCCTTGACCATTTCAAATAGACTCATCGTCGTCCAATGATGCCACATACCGTATGCATGCATATCCAGCAAATAGGCGTTGAAAGAAGCACGGTAAACGCTATTTTCCGCCAAAGGCACTGCCAATAAAATTTGTTGATGAAATTCGAGCGACTCAGAGATGCGAAAAAGACGCTGCGAGAAATAGCGCTGTCTTCGCGCAACCATTGCCCATGTTTCCGAATGTACCGAGTAGGCGAACTTCGTGTCTAGACTCTTGCGTATGGCGTAGTAGTCGCGCAACTCGGACATAATGAGAAAGATGTCTTTATACTCACGCATGAAGGACTCAGGCACTAACTTTTCCAGTAACTCAAATGACCCCTGAGGTATGGCAATTTGTATGTTACGCGCTTTTAGATCATCATAGCTATTGATTTGTTCACCGGCTGGCGGCTGGTTAAACGAAGCATTAAGATGAGCGCTGTAAACAGTGCTCCAAATTATGCCCTGAACAAAAATTAAAAAATAGAGCAAATAAAATTTATAGTTTCGTTCTCGACGCAATTTAAAGGAGAGTCCGACAACGCCACGAAATATCTTATCATTGAAGATCATCTCGTTGTTGGGCCACTGCTGCGACCTTCGCGGTATGCACCCGCCATTGGCAATACGCGCGTAGAGTAGAGAGAATATAATGAAAATGATTACATCTAGGATGAGCGTATTGCTGCTGAAAACATACTTGTAGATTTGATAGCGCTCAATGTAGCCGGCGCGTGGCAACATCGGCATCCAATGACCGATTTCTACCACGCCCGAAAATCCGTATAACGACATATTTTCGATAGGCATTTGCAAGCATATTGGCAAATCCAAATCGTAATTGCTGGTGAGATCTGCCAAAATGGAGACTTCGATACTAGCGCCCACATTCACCGGCATCCTGTAGGTCAGGCTGGCGTTGAGCTTCGCAGCATATGTCGAAATGAGGTGATAGATAAAGCCTAAGCTTTGCTTCTTACCTCGACGATCTGTGTAGATGATGGAGCCCGGCTCGGCCTGTGAGGGCATGGTGCGTAATGCAAAGCCATGCAGATCCTTGAGCCGATTCGGATAGTACACGCCGGGCCATTGCACATGCTCTATAGTGAAATTGGGAAAACGATTGAATGAGTAGAAAAGTCCGGTCGTTGCGAAATCCTTGCGTATTGCCAAAACATTCAACAGCTGCTCCTGGTCGCAGTAGGTGAAGAGTTCTTCCAACTCAGCGAACGGTTGGGAAGCTGGAACATTTTTTAGCAGAAATAATACTCGAGTTTCTCGCATATGCAGCAATCCGTCAGCCATGTTGTCGAGCAAATTAAGGTCCACAAAATCGTCCAGACAAACAACATTGAGAATTGCGCGATTAAAGTGCGCATTTAGGTAGATCGCGTAGCTGGCGTTGAAGCTGAGCTTCGCGTTATAGTTCGGCGAATTCCAGCTGGTGAGCTCAGCAAAGCAATCTGCTGGTTCACGCCGCCAGAAGACCAGTGTGCTGAAGCTGTGCTCTCGTTGAATGGCGGCAAGTAGCATTTCAATGGAATTTGGTTGAGTTTTATTTGCTGCACTCTTTTGCTGCGCAATGCATAAAGTTCCACTGGTGCACAACAAAAGTACCGAAGATTCGATAAAAACTGCAACGAGCAATTTCACAACGTACATTTTGTGGCAAGTTTGCGTTCGGACTGGTTGTCAGCACTTGTGTTCGTAAGACTAACACAATAAAAGTGTAGAGCTGTAATTGTTTTGTCATGCAAGGATATAATAGGCTATAAAGCACTAAAAACAATGTAAAGAAGAAATATGTACACACTTTTAAATTAGCTCATGCCACACAGCCCATGCAAAAGTCGATACTTTGTGCGCTAAGTTCGGTAATCGTGTTAACAGCCATCTGGGCACAGTCAATTGTCCAACTCAGCGGGTCAGTGTTTTGCGAACAATCCATTAAGGTGAATAACGAGCAAGTTATTTGTGAGATAGAGCCAGAAGCCGCCACCAAGCTCATGGAAAACTGGGTTAATAGGCAGAGGCGTAATTATAGGGTGGCATGGGCCCCCGATCCGAGAGGGCCCCGGCACAAGAGACCGCGAGCTCAGAAATAACCTAAGATTTTTAACAACACTAAGTAGTTAAAAGTTATAATTTTTTTAAGTACATACATAAAATTAATTAAAGTGAGACACAACTAACAACATATATTTTTGAAACGTTGTGTAAAAGCGAAAGTTTTTCATTCATTCTGATAATCAGCCCCGAAAGCTACATTTTATAAACAGACACTTGTTTCCTATCTTTTGTTGTTTTAAATATAAATATGGTTTTAAATGGTCTTTAACGTTACATTTTTTGGAAGTCAGTTATATATAGCGTCACACATACAGAAAACTGGGCGAATCCTATAAAGTTAAAAATTAAACTAAAGTGGTTTAATAACGATCAAGGTTCAAATAAACTATAAAAATATTAAATTTTCGAAAATACACGTTGAATTGAGTTATATATGTTATCGTTTTCTGCAGCTACTATTTCATGTGTATGTGAAACTCCCATCTCGTTACCTAGGCTATTTAAAAAGTTATAGATTAAAATATAATAAATATATTAGCAAAATTAAATTGTTATTTAACTACAAATATGTATAAACTCATGCTGTAGAAAATAAAATTTATTAGATATTTAAATAAAAAGCACACATTATTGGTAATATTGTTGGGTAACTACTTAAGTGGTTTATTAACCTAGAGTACTAATGTTCGTCGATTCGACGACTAGGTACTACTTTTATTTTACTCATTTTTTTCTTTACTGAGTGGTATGACTGCGATCGGACGCCGCTGTGGTGTTGTGGTAAGCAGTGCGCGGTTCCACTAAGCAGGGTCTGGGTTCGAGCCATGGTTTAAGCAACATCGCAAAAAAAAATTTGAGAAACGGTTTTTCTTAACAGCGGTCGCCCCTCGGCAGGCAATGGCAAACCTCTGAGTGTATTTCTGCCATGAAAATGAGCTTCTCATAAAAATACAATCGCCGTTCGGAGTCGACGTAAAACTGTAGATCCCTCCTCTTTGTGTGACAACATCAAGGCGCACGCAACAAATCTGAGGAGAAGCTCGGCCAAACAATTTTCATTTTATTTCAGGAGGAGAACACTCGGCCAAACAATAACGTATGTGATTTCGATTTCGACAATTGAATTCTCCGATTTTGTCCAAAATTTCATAAAATTCCCCGCCCATAGATATCTCCTTTAATTAATTAATTCATCCCAAAAAAAAATATGTATGTCTTTTGATATATAGCTGGTCTTTCTGTTTATTTGATTCATGTAGTAGTCATAACCCAAACCAAACGTTTATAAAGTTAGTTAACAAATAAAGAATAAAAAATGTACATATAATATTTACATACATACAGTGGTCGAAAAAACTTAAGTTGACCCAAATATTGACCAGTTTTCACAATT